CCCCTTGAATTTTGTCACTGACATGTTTTACTTTGAAGAAGTGGATACAGAAATGCAGCTGTTTTGAGTTCTTGTTGACAATATTCAACTCAGTGTTATCCCTTTGTTTATAAGTCAGATTTATGACACTACTCCAGATAGAAACAGTGTTTACTAGGACAGTTTTTGCTATTCCTTTTGTTCGGTCATTGAAAAGGTTTACAGGGCATGAAAACTCATTGGCAAAGCTACTTTTGGGTCCATTTTTCAGGAGTGGTAGTAAACTAATTAGCTGTATCGTAATTGTGGTTGAATATGGCTAACACTGGACAGTTGTTTGGAGGTTGGGAGAGTGGAAAGAGAGTGTATTTATTTATATACACTGTATTTTCCTATTTAATCAAAGTAGCAATGGCTGTGTAGTTTGAAAAGATTATACTGAAGTCAAGATAATAATTTAAAATACTTATGGCTAAGATAATGAAATACTTTAAGTATAGCATCAATCAAGAAATAGAAGCAACTAAATTTACTCAAAGCAGAAAGCACAGTGGTGAAAACTTACTCTGTGTCACTTAAACCTCTAGTTACACTTTGTTTGTGTTGTCTTTTTTTTCCTGTAGCTGCAGCTTCATGAAAGAGGATTGAAACTACAGCAGGCTATTTACAGTCAGGTACAACCTTGTAATAATTTGTATTTATTTCGTGCTCTTTTGTGTATCTTTTGCTTTTTTTGCCACAAAATCAATGTGCTTGGGAGGAGGAGGGCTTTGAACAGAGAGGGCCATGGAGATGCTTAGAGGGCTGAAGCCCCTCTGCTATGGGGACAGGCTGAGAGAACTTGGCTTGTTCAGCCTGGAGAAGAGAAGGCTCCGGGGAGACCTTATTGCAGCCTTCCAGTACCTGAAGGGGCTACAAGGAAGCTGGGGGGGACTCTTTACAGGGGACTGTAGTGACAGGACAAGGGGTAATGGGGTTACATTGAAAGCGAGTGAATTTAGATTGGACATCAGGAAGAAATTCTTCCTGGAGAGGGCGGGGAGGCACTAGGACAGGTTGCTCAGAGAAACTATGGATGCCTCATCCCTGGAAGGGTTCTAAGGCCAGGCTGGATGAGGCTTTGAGCAACCTGGTCTAGTGGAAGGTGTCCCTGCCCATGGCAGGGGAGTTGGAACTAGATGATCTTTATGGTCCCTTCCAACCCAAACCAGTCTGTGATTCTACCATAGAGGTGGGAGTATTTTTGCACTTAGGCTGCCTTATTTGCATTTAAGTATTCCTTATTGTCCTATGGCAGTGGAAATAAAACTCTGTTATGCATCTTGTGCTTAAATGCAGTAAAGCCTGTGCTTTGGTTGGAATACATTGCTTTTTGGGGGTGATAGTCATGGGGAGCACAAGGTGTTATGTAGTTATTGCTGTCATCTGGCAATACCGAAGTCTTAAACCCTTGCTCATGGGGAGGACACGTTAAACCTATGTATGTTCAGCTGAAGCCTGTATGAAAGTGGTTCTAGTACAGACTCACATTTCGTGTTTCCTGCATAGTACGTGCAATTTGGAAGTTTTACACCACCTTCCTGATTGACCTAACTAGTGTGAGTCTAATCGAACTTGGAAACTCCAGGGAGTACAAGGGAAGGCTGAATTTTACAATCTGTCCTAACGGGTTCATGGTGAGGACACTAATTGTGCTGTGGGAGGAGAACGACAGCTCAGGTGGAGATGTTCCAGGTATATTGGGCTGTGAATCTTCTTTCAGGCCTGCAAGCTGTTGGCGGATGACTACGAGCAAGTGCGCAGCGCTGCAGTTCAGCTGATTTGGGTCCTCAGTCAACTTTACCCTGAAAGGTATGTGCTGTATGCAAAGTGACTCAAAGTATAGGCATAGTAATTGTCCTCATCCTGAGAGCTTAGTGCTAGTAGGTGTTAGAAAACTGACAGGTTGCCCAGAGAAGCTGTGGATGGTCCATCCCTGGAAGTGTTCAAGGCCAGGCTGGATGAGGCTCTGAGCAACCTGGTCTGGTGGAAGGTGTCCCTGCCCATGGCAGGGGGGTTGGAACTAGATGATCTTTAAGGTCCCTTCCAACCCAAACCATTCTGTGATGTGTAAAATTCCTGATAAGGATACACTGAATCTGGACGAAGTTCCGGTTCTTGATATTTGTTGCACATCCGTAAGAATTCAGCATAGCTGTTTCTTGCTTGATGCCATCCAGCACGGCATAACATCATACTGATCTATGTTTCTCTGTGTTAGCATCGTCCCAATTCCTTCTTCTAATGAAGAAATACGCCTGGTTGATGATGCATTTGGAAAAATCTGTCATATGGTTAGCGATGGTTCCTGGGTTGTTAGAGTACAAGCTGCTAAATTATTGGTAAGTTATTCTCTATGTGAAAATAGTTAATTTTATGGTACTTTACTTTTTATATATATTTGAAAAGAAAGGGGAGGATATTGGAGCGAGTCCAGAGGAGGCCACAAAGATGATCAGAGGGCTGGAGCACCTCTCCTATGATGAAAGGCTGCAAGAATTGGGCTTGTTCAGCCTGGAGAAGAGAAGGCTCCAGGGAGACCTTATTGCAGCCTTCCAGTACCTGAAGGGGGATACAAGGAAGCTGGGGGGGACTTTTTACAAGGGCCTGTAGCAACAGGACAAGGGGTAACGGGTTTAAACTGAAAAAGGGGAGGTTTAGATTAGATGTAAGGAAGAAATTCTTCCTGGAGAGGGTAGTGAGGCACTGGCACAGGTTGCCCAGAGAAGCTGTGGATGCCCCATCCCTGGAAGTGTTCAAGGCCAGGCTGGATGAGGCTTGGAGCAACCTGGTCTAGTGGAAGGTGTCCCTGCCCATGGCAGGGGGTTTGGAACTAGATGGGCTTTAAGGACCCTTCCAACCCAAACCAGTCTGTGATTCTGTGTTTAGAAACTGTACAGGTAAATTTCTACCAAAATTCTGAGAAGGAAGTGAGAGAGGTTGAGGAAACGCAGAAGTTTTTCAGCTGAACTCTGCAGTGATTCTTTCCTTGAGGGTGGAGTTGGGTGTCCATGAAAAAAACCCACAAGTACTCTTCATAATACCCTCCCTCAGCTGCTTCCTCGGAGGACACGTAAACCAACTGAACTCAAGAAAGACCATATTAACTTCAGTGAGAAAATAAGATGTTCTGACAGTTTTAAGTACATGTCTGTAGGCTCTGACATACGGTAGTGTCAAGCATTGTGTAAAGCTATTGGGATGAGTGGATAAGATTGGATGCTGTGTTCAGATAAGTCAGGAAATTATGTGGTGTAGTTTAGAATAAATCTGTTTCTTCCTTTTGATTTTCTTTTCTTTAGGGTTCCATGCAACAAGTTAGCTCCCATTTCTTAGAGCAGACCCTTGACAAGAAGCTCATGTCGGATCTGAGGGTATGTAAATATTTGGGCTTGTTTTTACTGTGTGTAGCGTACTGGGCAACAGGTTGCCCAGAGAAGCTGTGGATGCCCCATCCCTGGGAGTATTCAAGGCCAGGCTGGATGAGGCTTGCAGCAACCTGGTCTAGTGGAAGGTGTCCCTGCCCATGGCAGGGAGGTTGGGACTGGATGGTCTTTAAGGTCCCTTCCAACCCAAACCATTCTGTGATTCTATGATAATATTGTGCAACAGGTATGTTAATGCTGTGTTCTTTTACCATGCCCTTGCCTCAGGGCTGCTGAGAGTTAATTGATGATGACAGGTTTTCTTTTAGATTCAAGTCAATGAAGCAAGTGCTAGTTTTAGATTTCATCAGCAGAGCATGTAAAAAAACAGCTCTAGGCTATTCAGGTTTCGCATATGAGAGGTAAACGTTTGTGTTACTCTGACAGTCTTTTAGATAAAAGCCTTATTTATTGTGTATGGAAAGATTGGATCCTAGTTTAGGAGGAAGCTTATGGAAACATCCTGCAAGATCTGTCCACAAGACCTAGGTGTTTCAAGAGTAGCTAGAGGCTGGGACTCCTGAGCCCTACAAGCAAACCTTGTACTGAAAAGTCCTTCCTTAAATAACTTGCCCAAGTTGGGTTCAGTTTTTCTGCCTACAAAAGAAGGAGGAAGCTAGAGCTGCTGGTTTTTGTGGGCTGCTTTGTAAAGTCCATTAAGGAAAGTGCTGCGTGGCTTTCTTTACGGTGCGGGGGGAACGGAAATGGACTAGGAAGCATGCTGAATCAATACTGCATTTTAAATGTTGCTGAATGCTGTAAAGTATCAGTAGTCATTAAATTGTTTAATTGCAATTTAACGAGTTAAACTGCAAAGTCATAGCATCTGCTTTTACAGATGACTTATTGGGTACTTAACGAGTCGGGCCTTTGATCTGACCCAGTTTGGCTGTTCCTATAATGCATGTCTAAGAATGTTAATTAAAGTACATTAGTTATTTTCCTTTCCCGACATCAGAAGTACATAGAGTTACTGGCAATTGAAAATATTCAAAGAAAAATATTCAGGAAGCCAACCGTATCCTGGGCTGTCTCAGGAGAAGTGTGGCCAGCAGGGCGAGGGAGGAGATTCTCCCCCTCTGCTCTGCCCTTGTGAGACCCCACTTGGGGTGCTGCATCCAGCTGTGGAGCCCACAACATCAGAAGGATATAGACCAGTTGGAGCGAGTCCAGAGGAGGCCACGAAGATGACCCAAGGGCTGGAGCACCTCTGCTATGGGGACAGGCTGAGAGAGTTGGGCTTGTTCAGCCTGGAGAAGGGAAGGCTCCGGGGAGACCTTATAGCACCTTCCAGTACCTGAAGGGGCTACAAGGAAGCTGGG